AGCTTTATCCGGGAGTAGAGGAAGCGTCCAGGATGGAGTGACCCTCGGCACCGAGAAAAGGCTTACCTCGGGGACCGAGGGTGGTATGTTTCCGAGGTACGCGTGACCGAGGACACGTGTTTGTTGTATAATACACCGAATGTGTGATCCTATATGAGAGGGCACCTCGGGGTAGAGGACGTTCTTCGCCGATGGTGCTTACATCCGGGCAACACTGTTCAAAAAACCCCGAGGACACGTGTCTTCATCTCAGGGCTTTTCAGAAGAGTCCCATCAACTCTCTTTCTCTCTCTCTCTCTCTCTCTTTATATATATTATATATATATATATATATCTGTGGGATTGAATGTGTGTGCAGCCATGGGAAGAGCACCTTGCTGTGACAAAACTAGAGTGAAAAGGGGACCTTGGTCTCAAGAAGAAGTTGAAACTCTAAAAGAACTTCCTTCAGAAACATTGCACTGGTGGCAATTGGATAGCCTTACCTCAGAAAGCTGGTTAGTTCCTTTCTCTCTCTCTCACACACACACACAGAGTCACACGTGCGAGTGTACAACACTCCCAAGTTTTTGTTCTTAGTCAATGTTCTTGATTCTAGCTAATCAAAATTGTACTTTTTAATTGCTTGATAAAAGATATACCAATTCATTCTTCTTCCTTAATGTTCCTCACTGATTATTCATTTCATGTGACACAGGTCTCAGGTGTTGCCACAGGAGTTGCCGTCTGAGATGGCTAATTTACCTCAGGCCAGACATCAAACATGGAGGATTTACTGAAGAGGAAGACAGCATTATATGCAGTCTCTACAGTAAAATAGGATATTTAGATAAGCACACAAATTTATGTTTTGTTAGAGCACTGTACTGTTCTTGGTCTTAGTGCAGTGGTGAGCTTGATCCTAACAAAGGATTCGAGTCGCATAAACAATCTCTCCGCATTTGGAACTGTAGATTCTGACCCTTCCAAATAAGCTCTCACGTATTGGACTGCCTTTTTTATTTATTTGCTTTCTTTAGTACAGTAATTAATAGTATGGAACTTGCACTTATAACAAATGTTACCATTTGTGATTGTCAATAAAAGGTCTGTCATAGCTGCTCAACTGACAGGAAGAACAGAAACGACGTGAAGACTCACTGGAACACCAAATTGAAGAAGCAGCTATTAGCTGGAAAAAAAAAAAAAATACCGTACCTGCAACATGAATGATAACAGCAGTAACAACCCTACAATGAATTTTATTCTTCATGTCTCAACACATCTTGCTATGGTACCAGAATTTGAAGCATAATATGATTATTATCGGAGTTTTTCAGCTTTGATATCTCAGTGTACTTCACCAACAATGCCATCACTAATTGATGTGAATTATGGACAAATTAGGAAGGAATTCACGGTCACGAGAAGAAGGTTCAAGCATTTCAGGTTCTAGTTCACTTTGCTGTGTACAACAATTGTGGGTCATGTTCTGGTAATGGAGCTGGTGGATATGAAGGGTTATCAGTGGATTTAGGCAATGGTTTTCCTTATGATCTTATGAATAGCATTTGGTCTCAAGAGACAGTCCTTGATCAAGATGTCCCTTCTTCATATGCAACTATGATTAACTCAATGTCAATAACCCCCACTGACACTAGCAGGATATGATCTTTTGGTTCTTTAATTGATAGGAATATATTTATGTATTGTTCAAGCACATGTATGAAGGTATTAGAGTAGATGTTTTAGCTATTATTTCTTTGTAGTTGTCTTAGTAGCTTGGGGATAGTTAATTCAGTCAAAAGATAGATCAAAGGTAGCAGATACGTAATAATATATAGTGTACATCACAACCAAGTATAGAAAGTGTAGTACATTTTAAATCTACTAATGCTATTGAGACATAATTTAGAGACTTAATACATTATAACCATTGAATTGATAGTGTTAGGATTCAATGACAATTTAATGTTGAGACGCACCGACAATCTAATAATCATAATCATTAAGTTTTCAAATTATATTCCAATAGCATTACTTAGACTATGGGCAGAGCTACTAGTGGGTCATATATTAAAGAAATACTACATATTTATTGTATTAGAAAAATAAATTGTATTTAATTTATTACATTGCCCCCTCTTAGGTATTTGAAAATTTGAATAATGATCTTAGTCTATTTTCTTTTCGGTAAGTTAGTGGAACATTCACCTTTAATTTACTGAAATAAATATTTTATTTTTAGACTAAATAATAAATCAAACGTAAAACACCTAACTCATATATTAACCAAAGATAACACCTTTATTATTTAATATCCTTTCTCTTATTCTTTAAAAATAATTGTATAGTTATCGATCATTATTTTATTTTTTATAGACTGTCGGCTCGTAAATTAGTATCACATGAATTAATCTAACTAGTAAAATATACTAACCTGAAAAGTCAATTTAAGCCCGTCTAAAAAATCAATTTCTCAACCACACGTGGTGTGGAGGTGGTTTATTTACTTTTTGACTTGGTGAATGGTGTGACACGGATTTGAGGGATCATGGCATTAGTACGTATACCAGTTTGCTTCTTGCTGGTCAATGTCACAGAAGTTGCATGGTGGACAATTCAAAGCTGAAGAAAGCGTATGCCTTGAAACAAATTTAGCTGAGTTTTTTTTTCCAAGCGATATGCTCTAAATTCATTCAAATAGTCGTCGGTGTTTAAATTCAACAGCGTAATTGGCGTAAACTTAAATAATTTGTAATAAAAAAAAATTATCTCAAGTAATACACACTATACCCTAGACTATGAAACAAGGGTCATTCAATCTCTCTAAATTGAATGACAATTGTCCTCAGATAATAAATTATTTTTGTTGCTACAAATTCTTGCACAATTCAAGAATTTCGGCTGACCTGGCGTGTGACAAAGCGACCACCCAATAGTCTTTATCTCTCAGTACCCGTGCGGAACTTCGTTCCACGTCGACTGAGAGTCATCTCTCCCACCCCCTTATAAGCTTGAGCCCCTCAGGGATGGGTACCCACTAGGCAGTTGTGTAAGAATTTGTACCAACAATTTTGATAACTATTTTTAGCATGAGGACCACAATAGTGGTAAAAAATACTCATAATGATAATAAAAATTATCATAAATGTGATAAATAGAAGTATGATACTGATTTTTTGTTTTCAATCCTGTAATTAAATCCTATTTTTATATATTTCCCTGCATCAACATTTCACTTAAAAGAAAATATTAAGATACATTTAATATCGCCTTTTGATAATATTTAAATTATTGATATGATAAGTTATGTCACGTTGCATCCGTAAGAGAAAACATTATTTAAAGTTGGGAAACTCTACAGTACCGGAAAAAAAAATGGGTATCGGTATTATCGGTTATTATTTTATATGATCAAATTTCAATTTTGAAAAAAGAAGTCACAATTATTCAAGAGAAGTCATGATCGATCACAAACAACGATGATTGAACATGAAAAATGTGGTGTCGATCATAACATTTTATAATCAATCATGTCGTTTGAAGTTATAATTTACACCGCAAAAAAATTATAACGTAACCGTAAAAAATTATAATTTTTAGTACCGGCACTACCAATTATACCATATAAATTCACTTTTAAAGTTTGTGTGTTTGTATAATATAATGTTTATTTGATGAACACACGGTCACAGGGGTCACTTCAATAATTTGTACTTCTTGAATCCAACATTTTATACTTCATAACCACAAATTATATATGCATATATACACAAATTATATAATGCCTTTTCGACAACTTTTTTATTGTATTTTGTCGTATTATTTTATTTCTATACACATTTATTTAAACAATACTTAATTTTAATTTTTTTATTATAAAAAATTTGGTGCTCCATTTTCTTAAAATGGAGCACATTATTATCCTTTTGTTTGATTAAAGGCATAATAGAGAATTTTAATTTTTGAGGGTATAAGCGTAAAATATCATTTGCCAATTATTAATGTGGGTTACATATTTAACTGAAAGCTATTTCATTTTGCCTCTAAACCATGTAATTTTTTTAACTTTGTCCCTATGTATCATCATTTTCCATCCAAGAAGATGACGGATATTTGTGGTTGGGGCAATATAAAATAATCAAATTAGTTAAGGGGATAATGTCAAAAATTTAAGAGTTAATTGGACAAAAAGTTCTCAAAGTATAAAATTTGTCATATTTTGGTCTCTAATATTTCAATCACATCAATTTGGTCCTTGAAGTAATAAATATGTTTCAATGTGATTCCTCAAGTAGGCAGAGCCAAGATTGTTAGTAATTTTTTATTATAAATTTGTCACGTAATATTTAAATAACTTTTGACCAAATTTTTACTCAAATTTTGATTAAAAAATTATATAAATTATATAGTTTTGATCGTGAATTATCCAAATTTTTGGTCAATAACTACTCATTACACATTTTTGGTTAAAAATTACCCAAATTTTAGTCAAGAGTTATTCAAATTATTTTTTACTCATATTTAGGTATCACGTGATAAGTTTTTAATAAAAAACTGTTAATGATCTGGATGTTGTCTGTTTGAGGGACTACATAAAAATATATTTAATATTTTAGAGACTAAAATGATATAATTAAAATATTGGAGACCAAAACGAAACAAAATTCATACTTTTGAGGTTTCTAGTGCAATTTATCCTAAAATTTAATAATTCATATTTGATAGGGTAAAAGTATAATTTACAAAAAAAAAAAGAAAGAAAACAATACTGGTAAACGAGGAAGCGATAATTTTACTCAAACGCACACGAGCGTCTTCATTCTCCATCCATTAAATTATGTCCCCCTCCTCAAGCCCAGAGAGATCTAACATAATCTATTCATAGAATTTCGTTCCATCTCCACGCAAAGCTGCTTCGACTCCGAATTTATGTTCTGATCTGTTTACCAACCAATTTAGTCCACACATTTCGATCTGGTTGTTTCCATTTTTCGTTTTTTTTCCCAGATCCGACCATGGATTTCATGAAGGTCATCGATCAAACTGTTCGTGAAATGTGAGCTCCATCAACTTTCTTTCCTTTTTTTTTTTTTGTTTTCTCTCGTGTTATTTTCAGATAAGTCGAATTTGTTTGCAACTTAATTGATTTCCTGTTTATGTATATGTATATATGTATGTAATTTTGGCGTTGCAGAAAGAGGGAGGTGAATTTGAAAGTCCTGAAGGTTCCTGAGATCGAACAAAAGGTAAACAATTGCTACATATGCTTTCTGCTTAAATTTTCAAGTTTTCGGTTATTTACAAAGGGGAAGGCCAAGAACAAATTAAAAAAAAAAAAAACAAAGGCGAAGGCCATGAATGAGTTTTTGGGTTAGATTTTTACAAAAAATAAATTACCAGCTCAGTAGATTTTGTATATACGATATATTTGATTGTGCCTTTTACTTTTTTTATTGTTTTAGTTTTTGGAGGATGTTATCTGCATAATTATTTGTTGGTATCGGCATGTCTTACAGATTGGTCATGCAAATGTTTTCTCTTCCTGGATACTAAACACTAACAGAAATTATTGAGGAAATGACTGTCGAAATGACTTTTCCTTTCTTTCTTGAAATGGCGGGAATTATACCCATCAGCATTATTTTCTTGCATCTCCGCGTAGTAATGTGTGGCTTATGGGGCGGTGCGTATTAGTTCATAACTCAAGATTAATGCACATGATCGTTTTACTAAAATTAAATACTGTGAGGTTGCATGTGCATGCTTTTTTTTTTTTTTTTTCTGGGATGGAGATGAGAAAATGCTGAAATACTTTCTATAGTATCATTTTGCCATTAGTTAGAGAGACTAAATTCTTATGTGGGAATAGGCTGAGCAAAGTGGATATTAGCTGCCAAGTTGGTCTGCATAAATTATCACATTTCAGGAAACCATATTGCACATAAACCCCATAATATTAGGATTCCATAAGTTTTTCCTAACAAAAAAATGCACCCTTTTCAATGCCGGAAGCAAGGCCTTGAAATTTTTTACATGTAGTGGCTACTTGAGAAATTGGGTGGGAATCTTTGACGTATATCTAAAAGTAATGTTTGCTATGGTAGTTATTTTTTGTTGCTATCTTTCTATTTATTTTTTTGGGGATTTTCCTCTTTAAAAAGGGTTTGAACTCAAATTTCATTGATTTTTAGTAGTTGCAGTTTATTACAAAGGAGGACCTATTAATGTCAAGCCTTAGGAGGTTTTCAAGAACATCTAAGTCCTAGGAAATCTGCGAAATAACATATGATCATATCAACTCATTTGATTGTTTAAAATGAAGTTTCACATTTATAATTATAAAAGTTTTGAGATATCTAGAGAGAAGTGTAGAGTTAGAGAGAAACTTGTATGAATAGATGATCTTGGCCATGAAGGTTGAAGAGTAGGATCTGTAGCCAACACAGGCTTATGTTGTATTTTTTGTGGGGTTGGGTCAGTGGTGGTGGTGCGCCGGGGGGGGGGGTGGGGTTGGGGGGAGAATTCCATCTCGGACTTTAAAGCCAATGCAAGTAGAACTTGATTTCCTAGAACAGTGCATTTAACTTGCATCTTTGAAAGAAGTAAAAGTCAAAGAAGATGATGTGAAACAAATTACGAAGAATACAATCTAGAATTTTGTTTCAAAAGGCCCTTGATTGATGGAATTTATAGTTGCCTTTATGACTTCACCTCTGATCATTCGATTATATCACAACAATAGAAGTACAATTTCTAACCTGAAGTAACTATTTTTTTGTTCTCGCGCACATTTGGATTGTCAAATGTCAAAGTAATAGTCGTTAGTGGGGGCCTGTGGGGCTTGTGCAATTTCGAACTTGATTTTTGCATAGATTGTACACTCTGCATTCAATTATCCCCTTCTTGCAAAAACAAGAAATAAATAAATAAAGTTGGCAAAAAAATAAAATTTTAGAAGGAGAGGAAAGAATGATATTCGTAACAGAAAAGGATATACACTTTTCTTCCATTGTAGAGTTCAAACCTATTAAGTATGACTACTTTGAGGTTGTGCTAGAATTAGTATTATAAAGTCGAATGAATCCTGCCATGAATAATTTACGCTAAGGAAATGAGACATTCCTATTTGAAACTGTGTTAATTTAATCATGTATTATTGAAGCCTAAGTGAAGTTCAAACTTTATCCTTGTATTATTTGACATGAAGTTTGGTTTTTGCACTAAGAATTTAACTCCAAAATGAGCTGTAGTTTACTCAGAAGTTGATAAATTGATTTTTTTGCTCAATATGAAAAACTCATTATTTTACAACAGTTGACAGGAGATACATAACGGTTTTTTTTTTTTTAGGGGCCAGAGACCTATAGTTGCTTAGAATGGGCCTTGGGGTAGTAGTAAGAGGGCTTCATTGTGGCATAGACATCAAGGGTTTGAGTTGTGGAAACAACCTCTCCGCTGTGTGGTATAGCTGTGTACATCTATCCCTCCTATGAACTTGCTATAGCGGGAGCCTCATGCACTGGACCCCTTTTTTAGATGTATGATATCTGCATAGTCCATTTGTTGAGCATGAAATTAGCAGACTGAAAGTCTGAAACTATGTAATTTTTGAAAAACTAGTTTATTAATGATGTGTGATGCTTTGTAAGCTTGTTGATCTTTTCCATCTATTGTGTATCTGTTCTAAAATCAAATCTCATTTTTGAATTTTGTAGTCCTTAGTTTATGTATCCTTATTTTACTGCACCATAGTTGTGTCTTGATTCAACTTTGCTTTGTATTGGCTAGCGACTCAGAGGGCTATGGGACACATTAATCACAGTGTCGTATTATTGTATTAGTTGATACGACCTAAAAGAAGAAGTTGAATATGGTGAGAGATTTAGGCCATATCACGGTGTCGTGAAATAGTATAGACTGATTCCCAACGACTTAGATTAAATCGAAGATGACTCAGCTGTGCGGGACTCAGAGTTTATACATAACGAATAACGATATTGACTTGGAAGGTGCTAGGTCAGATGTGACTCATATCGGTATTGACCAATATTTTGAACACTGGTAGTCCTTGGTACATGTGTTTCTTCTTTCCCTATGCAAGGATAGTACCTTCCTATTTACCTTGGCAATATGGGCGGATTATGAGTCATTATCTAATTTTTGTCCACCTGAATTCTTCGGCTAGAAATGATAAAAAAAATGGAATAACCCAAAACTTGGACCTGCTTTATGATGTATTAGTTGAACCCCATGGATACATGCCCTGTTCCTTGAGTATCATGGGAAGACATAGATCCAGCTTTTAGGAAATAAGGGAATGTCCTAGCATGGGCAAAGAAAAAATGCATTTATGGGGCAGGTTGTTCTGTATTTTCTTCTTCCACATGAATGCTAGGTCTAGAGCTGGGGAAAATGCATCATTCGATCCTTTTCTTGTTTTTTGTTTTTTTGTTTTTGTTTCAGTTGGTTGCGTGGGAAGAAAATGACAGTAGAGGCTTGTTTATGAATTAATCCAGGTATTGGATGCGACAGATGATGAACCTTGGGGTCCGCATGGTACTGCATTGGCAGAAATAGCCCAGGCCACCAAAAAGTTGTAAGTTATTGTTCTAATAATTGAATCATGTCTTATTCCTACTTTTCTCCGCAGTATCCTTTTGTCCAAGAAAGATAATTTGTCTTTATTTGCCATGGCTGATCTGTTGAGGTATTCTCCAGCTCTGAATGTCAGATGGTTATGAATGTCCTTTGGGTAAGATTGAGTGAAACTGGCCGTACTTGGCGTTATGTCTACAAGGTACCTCAATTTTTCTTGCTTCATCCATTCATTAATGGTCTGATATTGCAATCAAAAGTTTTTTCCTTCTGATAAATTTGCACTTTTATGCATTTTTGGCTTTTCAGTCCTCATGTATAAACCTTATCTTACCAGGCATTGGCTGTCATTGAGTATTTGGTGGCCCATGGATCAGAACGTGCAGTTGATGACATAATAGAACATACTTTCCAGATCTCAGTTTGTATTCTATCTTCTGCTATATTCGCTTATCCAGACCCTGTAATGATGGAAAGCTTAGTTCTCAGATTTTCTTTTCTCCTTTCTTTTTAATTGGTGAAGTCTCTCGCAAGTTTTGAATATGTTGAGCCAAGTGGGAAGGATCAGGGAGTCAATGTGAGGAAGAAGGCAGAAAACATCGTGTCTCTTTTGAATAATAAAGATAAGATACAAGAAGTTAGAAATAAAGCTGCTGCAAATCGTGAGAAGTAAGTCCACTTTTCATGACATGAGATTGTATATACTTACTTAAAACTCTCTAAAATTTACTGTTTCATTAGAATCTAGTGAGCATACTGAGTGCTTATATTGTTAGGTACTTTGGACTTTCATCGTCTGGAATAACATACAAGTCAGGTTCGGCCTCATCTAGTAGCAGCAGCTTTCAGAGTAGCGATCGGTATGGAGGCTTTGGAAGTACAAAAGATGATGATACGTTTGGGGATAGTTATAAAGATAGGGATAGATTTGGTGGGGATAAGTTTGACAACGGTACTTCTGCCAAGTCACGTCGAGGTCTTACCAACGATAATCAAGGAAACTCCTTGAGGAAGGGGTCTTCTCGTTATGGCAGGTTTGCATTTTAACTTTTGTTCTTTCTTCTGTAAATGTCTTCCTACATTACTCATTGTTGTTCACCAAGTGATTATATTCTTATAACATCTCCGTGTTTATGTTTGTGCACAATTCTATGAAGCATGGAGACTTTGTCCAAGTCAACATACTCGTATCGGATACGATACGTATTGAATACGCATCATACATATCCGATAATCAATAAAATATGTGGATACTTTGCAGATACTTCTATACATGGAGCAAGATGTACAATTTTAATTTTAATCTATAACATTTCCTTTCGAGTTTACATAAAATACAAACATCAAAAAAATTTTATTTGACTTTGAAAACGCGAGTGTTTTTTTAAGTATTATCTACTGTATGACATGTCAAAAAGTATAAAAAAATGATTTAGTTACACTATAACCTTTGAAAGAAATACTTGTAAGCAAACCAACTAGTTAATGTTGGTTCTAATTCTTTTAATTGATCTCGTTTACTTTATGGATATATCATAATAAGACGATATTATACATTTTTTAAGGTAAAAATTGCTAATTTTGTTTGCTAGTGTTAAAGAATTACTAAAAATTGTAAAATATATAATAAATTTTGTTTTTTAGGTTTTGTTATATCGCTATATCCATATTGTATCGTACCAGTATCCGTATTTGTGCTTCCTAGGTGCGCATGTGTCTATGGATATTAAATGCTGAACATTCTGTATCATAAATTTTGGCCATGAGCTCCATACTGCTGTTATGTGTGATTGTGTTGTATCAGTACCATTGGCAGAAGGAGATAGCATTCTGTGAACACTTAAAATTATTACATGTTGCTTTTCCTCTTTAGGATATCCTGTTTTTCTTTTAGCTAAATCTTCAGAATGTTTCTCAGCAAGGTTCAAGATACTTTGGCAGCTGATGCATCAAAGCCAACTCCAAAGGCAATTAATTCTGATAAGAATGCTTCAATTCCAGCACAAAGTTCTAATGTGCCTGCAAACAATTATGAGGACGATTTTGATGATTTTGATCCACGAGGAACTTCCACTGCTAGTAAGTATTTGGAAATGGTACCTCGCAATTGCAATTCTTTTCTTTTATGTAATTCATAGAAAGGCTTCGTCTTGTCCACATTTAGAATAGCTTAATGTAGCATATATCATACCTACCATTGATTGGTGGTTTTCCCCCCTTTATAAAAAGCACAAATGTACATCATCAATAGAAGGGCAACCAAACAAACAATTGCACAAATCAAATGATGTTGTCTTATTGACTCAAACCTTATAAAAATGTGAAAGGACTTTGTACATGATCTTCTCTCTTTGTGTGTCCTTGAACTTGCGGATGTGATGGGGGGAGGCAAGCTTGGATTAAATCCAAACTTCAGGAGTGCTTTGCTTTGTGCCTATCTAGGAGATAATAAGAACTTAAAGAAGACGAATATGTTGGAATTTTCATGATTTGATTTTGAAGATTCTTATCTAAACTCTTTGTTGAGAAAAGTGTCTATGTTGATTTGATTGTCTTCTATATTTAAGGCACAAAAGCTAGGTACTCACCAAATTTATACAGGTGTGAATTATTTAACAATCCCTGTGGTGGCTGTGTTAGTCACTGGATGTTTAATGATGTATGTATCCAAATCTTTTAGCCATTTCAAAGTTATGTGATTCAAAATTTCATGTTTTGCCTAATGCATTGAAGCTTAGCTTCCCCAGACAAACTAGTGCTTGCACTAGCCTCTCATGCAGCGGTATAGTGGTGATTATGCAATGCTTGGTGATCCCACACAAGGAAAAAATAGGCTTATAAAGTTTTTCTAGATGTTAGTCGGCTGTGATTGCCTTTTTAAAGATCTGAGATTGAAACATATATGTTGTTTGTTGTTCGCCTACAAATAGATATGATATAGGGCTGCAAGCCTGCAAATGAATTGAGTCCTTCACAAACAGTTTGAGTTCAGCTTCAAGCTTATTCATTTGCTGGATTACCCCAGCCCAAGGCCTATCTCAAAACTCATGTGACAAATAAACCGAGAGTAGCACACCTTAGCTCGGCTCAAGTTGGCTTGCAAATAATGCCAAGTGGTAGATCCATAATCTTTGACTCTTTGTAACATGCAGTAGAAAACTTAATACCTAGCCAATGAGTCAGCCTTGTATCATTCATATCTGTATTGAATTATCACTCAAAAATTAAGACCGAAAAAATCACTTGCTTGACAAGTGGAATTTTTACATAATTAGTGAATGAATTAGGAACTAAAGTACATCTGTGTCTAGTTGCATAATAGAAAAAATATATTATCCTAATCATCCATCTCAAGCATGTTCCATTGGATAATCTATCAAAAAATAGATATATAAGTAATGATATAATTATTGAACATCCACACAAGAATGAATGCAGTTTCTTTACTGTATGATAATATTAATTTGAGGTGGTTGATTGTATTACTACCATTACCATTAGTAGTAGTGCTGGTGGTGGTTCTTATGGTTGTTATTGAAATATTCTAAATTCTTTGGACTCTTTTTTTAGTAATTTCAAAACAACAGAAAGTTTTATTGTAGAAGTTGCATTTGAAAATGCATGTAGTTGTTAAACAACTGCATATTACACTATAACAAATCTAAGTACTATAAAATAGGCATCTACATGTTTGTTTGGTGCGCCTGCTTTAAATGAGTGTTTTTGGGATTCTGTGATGGAGAAAGTGGGGAGGAGGTTAGATGGTTGGAAAAAATTGCTCATTTCTTAAGGGGGAAAATTAACTTTTAATCGGTTTTGTCTAATATCCCATTTTTTTCATGTCTCTTTTTAAATGTCTTGTGGGGTGGTTAGGAAAATTGAAGATTTAATGAGGATTTTTTATGGAAAGGGATGAGAGAGGGTAGGAAGGACATTTGAGATTGGAGGTGATGACTAGGCCAAAAGATAAGGGAGGACTTTTGGTGGCAAATTTGGTGAATAGAAATATAGCTTTGGTTGAGAAATGGCCAAGGAGGTTCCCTTTGGAACAAGATTCAATATGGCATGCCGTTATTAGGAGCAAGTATGATTTACAAGCTAATGGGTAGGATGTTAACTGGGTTGAAAGGGGTTTCTTTTTGGGAGTTTATGGAGGTTTATTTATTAGGGGCTATCTTTTTTCTAAGAGGGTTAAGTTCATTGTGGGGATGGAAATCGAGTGCGTTTTTAGGAAGATATATGGGTTGGGAATCTTCTTTCTCTGGTCTCTGGTCTCTGTCCATGTTTGTATCTTGTCTATGGCAATCATGACACTTTGGTTGCATCTATGGTTCGATCATGTTCTAATCTAATTCTTAGGAATTTGGATTTCGTAGGAATCTTAATGATAGGAAATGTACAGAGTTGATGATTCTTCTCATGTAAATTGTTTTTTGATTCTTTAATTGATAATCTTTTGCTTCCATTATTCTATCCATCACTGAGAATTTGGAGGGAGAAAGTACCTTTAAAGTTTTAATTTTGTGCATGGAAAATTTTTCATCAGAAAATTAGCACAAATGAGGTCCTTCAAAGAAGGAGATCAAATAGTTGTCTACAACCGCAATAGTGTGTTATGTGTAGAGATGGTAGCGAGAATGTGGATTACTTATCTTTGCATTGTCGTGAGCATTATGGAACAAGTTTTTTAACCTTAGGGGCATTGCGTGGGTTGCTCCAAAGAATATGGAGTCTGTTTTGTATGGAAGATGTGGGTTTTGGGGAAAATAGTAAATGGGCATAGTGCCTTCTTAGCTAATTATGGGTGATTTGGAAGGAAAAGAATGTGAGGATTTTTTAGGAAAAATGGGAAGATTTTAAGGGTCTAGGGGAAAGGCTTTATTTTTTGGCTTCTTTTTGGGCATCAATGTCCAAGGAGTTCCAAGATATTCCTCTCTTTTGTATTAGAACAAATTGGAAAGTTTTAGAATTAATTTAAGATTAATTGTGCATTAAAAGCATATTGTGCCTTTTTTTGGCACCTTTGGATGAAATTAAGCTGTTCAAGTGATTGTGTAAATCAGTGCCACTGTGTGCTGGACAATATTTGAGATGCTAACTATTGACAGGGAAAAGTTATCTGCCATTAAAGTAGTAGTGTGTTGCTTTTTCGGTATCATAAGTCCTGTTCCTTGTCATTTGCTGAAAATTTAAGGGCAAAATTCCATGTGTGGTTTGTCAGATAGTTGATATTTGCTTCATCATTTATTTGTCAATTAAGACCTTATGTTTGACAGAGCCAGATGCTGGAAGCCCTAATCCAGTGGATTTATTTGGACAAAGTTTGGTTGGTGACTTGTTGGATGTGCCAGCATCAGTTCCCACAGAAATGGCTTCAGTGAATGGTAATTCACCAGAGGTTGATTTGTTTGCGGATGCCACTTTTGTATCAGCACCATCCCACGTAGAAGCTGGGAAAAGTTTTGAGGCTCAGGTCATAGCTTCTTTCTTCTTTCACTCCCTACCTTATGTGGGTATTATCGTAAATAATTTATACATAACTCTTCTGTCCCATTTCTATGGAGTATGCTGTTGTGGAACATACTCATTGTCAACTTCAAACAGGAAATAAGGTTTTCTTGCTTTTCCTTTGTAACTGTTTTTGACATGTTTCCCCACCAATAATGTGTCCAGATTTTTTGGAACAAGAACAGCTCCAATAATACTTCATGCATTACGGACACCGGAATGATTCTTTCTACGTCGCACATATACATATGTATACACGCACGCGCGCACACACACATATAACTGAAAATTGGATGTCATCTTATCTATATTAGTTAGTCATGCCCTGTGTAAAAGATCTGCAATGGGCCATTCCCCTGCAGAGTCATCCAATGCATGCTCTCTCTCTCAGACACACACACACACATCATTCTTACAAGAAACGTTGCATAAAAAACACCCCACAGAAGAAATTTGGCCGAGCTGTGCCACATTTTTCTCCTTTTCTTCCCTTTTAGTAGCTTTTAAATATTTTTTCACTCAAAATTAATGTGAAATTATAAGAATATATACTATTCTACGTAGAGAAATTTGGCGTTGACTGCAGTTTTCTCATAATACTCTTGCCACTTTTTTTAAAAGCCTATGACATGAATTATACCTTATCAGCTAGTACCATCAGTCGAAAGGCCCCTTGTACGACAAATTTTGTAAAGGGAATAGGAACTGCACATAATTCTTTACTGGATGGGAAAATTAGGAAAGAAAGTTAGGTTGAGGTAAGCAGTACACATTCGCCTCTTCTTCCGATTAATATATATATATATATATATATATATATATATATATTTTTTTTTTTTTGCGATTTTGATAGCCATCTGGCAATTTAAAAAACTATGGCAGAATTTAAGCTAGAAACACTTAAATTTAGTTGGATAGGTTGGAATTCTGATGCAGTACTTAGAATTGTGATGCATCTATTACTTTCCTGTAAGAATGGGGGCTGGTTTATATTCAATCCAATACCATCACTTGATTATGTGCTTATATTCATTTCATGGCCGTTTCTGCAGGCCAAGGTTGATCTATTTGCCTCCCAACCTGCCTCTTCTTCTGCAGCTTCTTCAACAGTCGACTTTTTTACTGTTCCTGAATCAGTTGTTCAACCTGCGAATAAATCTTTAGAATCTGACCCAATGGCGATTAACACGATTGATCCATTTGCTGCTGTTCCACTTAACAATTTTGATGGATCAGGTCTTTTTGGTGCATTCACTTCGAATACTGATTCAGTATCTACGGAGCCCACACAAAATTCTGGCAATGATGGCAACCGTAGTATCTTGAATGGGAAGTCTTCAGTCGAATCTAAGCCTTCACCGAAGAAAGATTCTTTCCAAGTCAAATCTGGAATATGGGCCGATTCTCTGAGCCGTGGACTAATTGATCTTAACATAGCTGCACGTAAGATGCTTATTCCTAGCTACTCTAAGTTTATCTCTGTTGGCTCGGCGATTTGCATGTGTTATTAATTTTAACACTGTCAAATTTCTGCAAAAACCCACCACAGATGCTCTTGCATGTTTCATTCTTGCTCAAACCCTCAGAGGGGGCATAACACCACTGAGGAATGCCAGTACTCTAGGGTATGATGTTATATTTTTTTTAACAAATAGATGTCACCCTTGTAAGTGGGTGATTTCCAGTCCAGCTCAGTTCACAACCATAAACCTTTTTATCTGTTGAGCGAATCCTGAACTCTCACATAGTCAAACATCTGGAACAATCATATTTTATATGGTAATGTGTTAGGTTTGAATGACATTGCTGTCTGTTCATTATCATTCTGAAATTGCCTTGTGTATTTGAAACCTACTGGCAGTCAAGAAGGTAAATCTAGCAGATGTTGGCGTCGTGGGGGGTTTGACCAATGGATCAGATGAAAAGGATAAAGCACCTCCAACTTCATTTTACATGGGCAGAGCTATGGGTGCAGGATCTGGGCTTAGTAGATCTGGGTTCACGTCAACGACAGCAGGTGGAGGAGATGATCTCTTCTCAAGCTTTGGCAGCCAACAGTACCAATTTGGTAACTCCGGGAAATAATTCGTTCATGTTCTTGATTCATTCATCCAATTTTCTTTTAATATTCTTTTGCGAATTTAAGAAAAATGGTCTTGAGCATGTTGGTGTGTTCATGCATACAAGGAAAAGATCGGGTGTGTATTTTGAGAGAGTTTGTTGATGTATGTCAAAATGATGACGCTTTCATAGAGTTCCTTTCCGAGTATTGATGAAGGTCGATTTGAAGGCCATGAATAATGTCTTTCATGATCCATATCATAAAGCTTTTCGTATACTTAAACATTGCTCTCTCTCTCAATTTTTGGTGCTTCGTGTTCATTTCTGCATCACAGATCTTCCAATTCGGATGGGGTTGCTTTTGTCACTAATCAAGTCTTTTTCATCTTTCTTGAATTCTGTTAGTTCTTCGTTGACAATCGAAACAGTGAACCATTAATATCACTGTCTGGGGCCTCTTTTTTTTTTACTGGAGTGTCCAGGTGTGTGTCCATTATTTTTTCGAACTTGAATACTAATTGTCGTAGTTCGAGCGAATTTAGAATATGTTCCTTGAAAAATAATGGTGATTAGTTTTTAGGAAATATGAGAAGTGTTGAATTTGAGACATTTGAGTTATTGAAAATTAGACTTAGTCACTAAACTACCTTTAATGGTTCTCTGGGGCCTACTTGAATAGTATATTAGATTCTAAGCAGAGCCAAAATTCTTTGTTAGAGGCAGCAAAATGTTTTTGTAAAATTTTCTTTTGAGATGATGACATATGGTAAGATTTAAAACTAAATTAAGATATAATATAGTAAAATTGGTTATTGTTTGTGTCTGAAGATACAAAATAATAAAAAAATGGTCAACATTGTATTCACATCTAAAATCAAATTACAAATGTAGAGAAGAGAGAAATGAATTTAAGCATTGATTATAGTGGGAGTGAGCGATGATAATGGTGGTGGGTGGTAGTGGTGATGGTGGCAATGATGGTGGTAGTGGTAGTGGTGATGATCGTGAAGGGTGGTGGTGGGGTGATAGGGGTAGTGATGGTAGGGGTGATAGTTGGATAGTGGCGGTGATAGTAGGGAGGCTGCAGGGTAGAGGTGACGATGGTGGTGATGAGGGGGGGGGGGGATAGTGGGGATGGTGGTGGTCGGGGCAGTAGGGCTGGTGGTGATGGGGTGACAATAATAATAATGGTGACGGTTGTGACAATAAGGAGCAGTGGCGGTGGTGGTGGTTGTTGTGACAGAAGTGGTGGTGGTAGGGTGGTGGCGGGTGGTGCCGGTGGTGGTGGTGGGGTGGTGATGATAGGGGTGATATAGTGGCGATAGTGATGGTGGTGGTAAGAGGCGAAGGGTGGTGGTGATGCAATGGGTGAGGTACTGGTGGTGGGGTGGCGACAGTGGAAGTGGTAGTGGTAATGGTGGTAATGGTAGGGGGTAGTTTAGTGGTGGTGTGGGGTGGCGGTGGTGGTGGTAATGGTAATGGTGGTGGGGGGTGGTGGTGGTAGTGGTGATGATGGTGGGGCGATGGGGGTGGTGGTGTAGTGGTTACAAATACTATTTTTTTTTAAGTACTTATGAGAAATTATAAGTATTAAAAACACCTTTAAAAAGTCACATCAAACACACTCTTAGAGTCCTATTTTTCCTATTAAATTTGGGGTGTTAATATTAGCCGTCAGATTAACTTTAAAGTAAAATTAAAAAAGATCTCAACCGCGAATAACAAAAGTCATTTTGTTTATCTTTTAAGATTTAAATTGTATTGTACTTTAATATATAAACTAGTTATTTCCTCGTGCTTGAAATTTAAACAACGATTATAGTAGAGACGAGAGGTGGTTATGGTGGCGGTGGGAGATAATGATAGTTGTGATGGGTGATGACGACCATTTGTGATGGTGACAGTCACGGGTGAGTCGGTGACAATAGTGATGGTAGTGGTGGGGCAATGAGGGTGATGGTAGGACAATGACGGTGGTGATAAGGTGATAGTGGGGATGGTGGTGGTGGTGTTCGTGGGGATTTTGGTAGTGGGGTAGCGATGGTGGTGGTGGTAGGGTGACGGCAACAGAGGTGATGGTGGGTGTGGTGATCATGGGGGTAACGACGGTAGTAGTGGTGGTGGTGGGGTGGCGATAGTGGTAGCGGTGGCAATGATAGTGGTGGTGGGCGGTGATGATAGTTGTTGTGGAAGAGGTGGTGG